TGGGGCTCGTTGGCGCTCTCGATCGATGCGTAGCCCAGCATGAGGTTGTAGAGGTTGTCGTTCACCAGTGTGGCGATGGTGTCTACGCTCCTCCTCGCGTAATCGAACCTGTAGTAGTTGCACAGGCTCTGCAGGTTGACGGTGTAGCAGAACATGTGGGCCAGGGGTGCGACCATGAGGTCCATCCAGCAGGGTATCCCGTCGTTGAGCTCGCGGTCGGTGGGGTTGAGTTGCCGTTGTTCGAGATCCGGTTGATCTTCCGGCTCTCCACCGAATGACTCTATGACTCTATGACATGACTCCATGACTCCATGACTCAATGACTCTATGACTCTATGAGACTCTATGACATGACTCTATGACTCCATGACTCAATGACTCAATGACTCTATGACATGACTCCATGACTCCATGACTCAATGACTCTATGACTCTATGACTCTATGACTCTATGACTCTATGACTCTATGACTCTATGACTCTATGACTCTATGACTCAATGACTCTATGACTCTATGACTCTATGACTCTATGACTCTATGACTCTATGACTCAATGACTCTATGACTCTATGACTCTATGAGACTCTATGACTCAATGACTCTATGACTCTATGACTCAATGACTCAATGACTCAATGACTCTATGACTCTATGACTCTATGACTCTATGACTCAATGACTCTATGACTCAATGACTCTATGACTCCATGACTGAGCCTCTTACGCCGGGTGACTCGGTAGGCCTGAGGCAAAGGCTCAATGACTCAATGAATTATGGTGACTCAGTTGGCCTGAGGCCTGAGGCCACGGCTAGACCGTGTGACTGAATGAGCGCCGGACAGACTCAGTACTGACTCAATGACGCAATGACTTCATGACTCAATGACTCGTACGGTGACTCGGTAGGCCTGGTTTCAGCAAGACCATCTCCGTCAGCATGAAGTCCACGGTGCTGAAGAGGGAGCAGCTGCCGGCGTCCTGCAGTGCAAAGGTGCAGTCCTGCGAGGAGGAGCAGCTGCAGATCTCACTCATCGCCTCGGAGAACATTGCGACCGCCCTGCGATCCTCCCCAGTAATGCATCTCCCGGACGGGGCAGGCCCACCAGTCTGCGACCCCGTTGCCCGAGGGGCTGTAGTCGCTGCGCGAGTCGATGTCGTAGGTCTTGAGCCAGTCCATGGTCTCGGTGCTTGCAGCCCTCGGCATGCACTTGGGGAGGAGGTTGTAGGTGGAAGAGGCCCTGTCTCTGGGTGCAGGTGTCGTTGCTCCTTATCCCCGGCTTGCAGAGGTTGTTGGAAGTTCCTGCTGACGGCATTGAGCGTGATCCACAGAGGGAGGATAGTGCCAAAGGTGGTAATCTGCTTCGCCAGCAGTGGTGCACCAGCCGGAACGCGTCCTTGTGGGTGTAGCCAAGGGCCTTGCTGCTGCATGAGGTCAGGCCGATCAGGTGTTGCGGTCCGATCCGTCTTGTTGCTAAGGATGACGGAGATGGCGTGTACGAGCACGTCGGCCATCCTCACGTTACAGGTCCCTCCCAGGTGGTGTTGACATCCAGTTCGTTATCGAGGAAGATCCACGCAGAGGATGACGTCGAGGCTCCCCGCCGTGAACCCCGTAACGTCCACCGTGTCGTGCAGCAGGATGCACTGCACCCACCACTTCATCGGGATCTCGATCTGCGAGGCGTCGCTGAAGGCGTACAGGGTCGTGTGCGGGTAGAAGAAGCTAGCCACCCCGGGCTGGAGGTCGTAGGCGTACCAGCCCTGGGGCTCGTTGGCGCTCTCGATCGATGCGTAGCCCAGCATGAGGTTGTAGAGGTTGTCGTTCACCAGTGTGGCGATGGTGTCTACGCTCCTCCTCGCGTAATCGAACCTGTAGTAGTTGCACAGGCTCTGCAGGTTGACGGTGTAGCAGAACATGTGGGCCAGGGGTGCGACCATGAGGTCCATCCAGCAGGGTATCCCGTCGTTGAGCTCGCGGTCGGTGGGGTTGAGTTGCCGTTGTTCGAGATCCGGTTGATCTTCCGGCTCTCCACCGAATGACTCTATGACTCTATGACATGACTCCATGACTCCATGACTCAATGACTCTATGACTCTATGAGACTCTATGACATGACTCTATGACTCCATGACTCAATGACTCAATGACTCTATGACATGACTCCATGACTCCATGACTCAATGACTCTATGACTCTATGACTCTATGACTCTATGACTCTATGACTCTATGACTCTATGACTCTATGACTCAATGACTCTATGACTCTATGACTCTATGAGACTCTATGACTCAATGACTCTATGACTCTATGACTCTATGACTCAATGACTCAATGACTCTATGACTCTATGAGACTCTATGACTCTATGACTCTATGACTCTATGACTCTATGACTCAATGACTCTATGAGACTCTATGACTCTATGACTCTATGACTCAATGACTCAATGACTCAATGACTCTATGACTCTATGACTCAATGACTCAATGACTCAATGACTCAATGACTCAATGACTCAATGACTCTATGACTCTATGACTCTATGACTCTATGACTCAATGACTCTATGACTCAATGACTCAATGACTCCATGACTGAGCCTCTTACGCCGGGTGACTCGGTAGGCCTGAGGCAAAGGCTCAATGACTCAATGAATTATGGTGACTCAGTTGGCCTGAGGCCTGAGGCCACGGCTAGACCGTGTGACTGAATGAGCGCCGGACAGACTCAGTACTGACTCAATGACGCAATGACTCTATGACTCAATGACTCGTACGGTGACTCGGTAGGCCTGGTTTCAGCAAGACCATCTCCGTCAGCATGAAGTCCACGGTGCTGAAGAGGGAGCAGCTGCCGGCGTCCTGCAGTGCAAAGGTGCAGTCCTGCGAGGAGGAGCAGCTGCAGATCTCACTCATCGCCTCGGAGAACATTGCGACCGCCCTGCGATCCTCCCCAGTAATGCATCTCCCGGACGGGGCAGGCCCACCAGTCTGCGAGCCAGTCCATGGTCTTCCTGGCGCAGGGGTCCACACCGGAGAGGGAGGGGGCGGTGCTTGCAGCCCTCGGCATGCACTTGGGGAGGAGGTTGTAGGTGGAAGAGGCCCTGTCTCTGGGTGCAGGTGTCGTTGCTCCTTATCCCCGGCTTGCAGAGGTTGTTGGAAGTTCCTGCTGACGGCATTGAGCGTGATCCACAGAGGGAGGATAGTGCCAAAGGTGGTAATCTGCTTCGCCAGCAGTGGTGCACCAGCCGGAACGCGTCCTTGTGGGTGTAGCCAAGGGCCTTGCTGCTGCATGAGGTCAGGCCGATCAGGTGTTGCGGTCCGATCCGTCTTGTTGCTAAGGATGACGGAGATGGCGTGTACGAGCACGTCGGCCATCCTCACGTTACAGGTCCCTCCCAGGTGGTGTTGACATCCAGTTCGTTATCGAGGAAGATCCACGCAGAGGATGACGTCGAGGCTCCCCGCCGTGAACCCCGTAACGTCCACCGTGTCGTGCAGCAGGATGCACTGCACCCACCACTTCATCGGGCTCTCGATCGATGCGTAGCCCAGCATGAGGTTGTAGAGGTTGTCGTTCACCAGTGTGGCGATGGTGTCTACGCTCCTCCTCGCGTAATCGAACCTGTAGTAGTTGCACACGCTCTGCGAACATGTGGGCCAGGGGTGCGACCATGAGGTCCATCCAGCAGGGTATCCCGTCGTTGAGCTCGCGGTCGGTGGGGTTGAGTTGCCGTTGTTCGAGATCCGGTTGATCTTCCGGCTCTCCACCGAATGACTCTATGACTCTATGACATGACTCCATGACTCCATGACTCAATGACTCTATGACTTCATGACTCTATGACTCTATGACTCTATGACTCTATGAGACTCTATGACTCAATGACTCAATGACTCAATGACTCAATGACTCAATGACTCAATGACTCTATGACTCTATGACTTCATGACTCAATGACTCTATGACTCAATGACTCTATGACTCTATGACTCTATGACTCTATGACTCTATGACTCTATGACTCTATGACTCTATGACTCTATGACTCTATGACTCTATGACTCAATGACTCTATGACTCTATGACTCTATGACTCTATGACTCAATGACTCAATGACTCAATGACTCAATGACTCAATGACTCTATGACTCAATGACTCTATGAGACTCTATGACTCTATGACTCTATGACGCAATGACAGAGATAGGACTCAATCCAGAGATAGGACTCAATAAGAGAAGGGGGGGGGGGGGGGGAAAAAGGGAGGAAAGG